TCACCGGTGAGGGCAATTGTGCATTGTCTAATTGGAGACAGTAGCGTCTTCGTGGACCATTGTGCCGAAAAGCAGAGGTATCCTTTGTGAGCTTCCTTTAAAGTGTAACAGACATTAGTCGTGGGATCATCAAGACTGCAAAACTGACCATGAGAGGTTTTATGACCGGCACCACCTGTTTTTTGGTCAAGGTCCAGTGCCAGCCAGGGTAAAGAATAATTCTGACCTCAGCTCTTCCATGTTCAGGATCAGTGCCAGCCGATGAGGTATTAAGCTTGGCATTCGACTTTGACTGATGATGACATGAGGTGAGGGGGAGTGTAGGCATTGCGGACCACATCTGCAAGCAAAGGGCCTTCTGGAAATGCCCCCAAATGGACAAAGATTTATATTGCAAATGGCCAAGGGGAGGCCACAGCCAGCGTCCTTTCAAAAAGTGCCAGGATGCCTGGGCCCTGATATCACATTACGGAAGCGAATTTTGTGTAACGAAACCATAGCTGCTGTTAAAATACCAGCGGACATTTGTAGTCGGAAGGAAAGAGCCCTCCCGGGGATTCTTACCTTGGGAAGGGATTGACGGGAGTGTCTAAAGTAGAAACAAAAAAGGAGAACATTTTATACAGGAATAGAAAGAAATGGAGAATAAATGCCAGGAACATTCACTTGGGAACTGGAGTGGCTCCTATGGACAGTGGTTAGGATCATTACATATCACAGTGATGCCAGGAACATAACGGAGCCATGAAAACTCAGGAGAGAGAGACCATAGTGATATATTTCTCAGTATTTTATAAATGGGGGAGAAATGAAATATAGGCTGGTACTCAGAAGGCCATGTCAAGCTGCATCTCTGGATGTCTACTTGGTTTGGTGTCGTGGTTAAGTGCGCGGACTCTAATCTGGGAGAACCGGGTTTGATTCCCCACCCCTCCACTTGCACCTGGCTGGATGGCCTTGGGCAAGCCATAGTTCTGATAAGAGCTGTTCTTGAAAAAGAGCAGTTTCTGTCAAGAGTTCTCTCAGCCCCACCTACCTCACAGGGTGTCTGTTGTGGGGAGGGGAACGGAAAGGAGATTGTAAGCCGCTCTGAGACTCCTTTGGGTAGTGAAGGGCTGGGGATAAATCCAATCTCTTCTTCTTCTTCTACCTCACAGGGTGTCTGTTGTGGGGAGGGGAACGGAAAGGAGATTGTAAGCCGCTCTGAGACTCCTTTGGGTAGTGAAGGGCTGGGGATAAATCCAATCTCTTCTTCTTCTTCTACCTCACAGGGTGTCTGTTGTGGGGAGGGGAACGGAAAGGAGATTGTAAGCCGCTCTGAGACTCCTTTGGGTAGTGAAGGGCTGGGGATAAATCCAATCTCTTCTTCTTCTTCTACCTCACAGGGTGTCTGTTGTGGGGAGGGGAACGGAAAGGAGATTGTAAGCCGCTCTGAGACTCCTTTGGGTAGTGAAGGGCTGGGGATAAATCCAATCTCTTCTTCTTCTTCTACCTCACAGGGTGTCTGTTGTGGGGAGGGGAACGGAAAGGAGATTGTAAGCCGCTCTGAGACTCCTTTGGGTAGTGAAGGGCTGGGGATAAATCCAATCTCTTCTTCTTCTTCTACCTCACAGGGTGTCTGTTGTGGGGAGGGGAACGGAAAGGAGATTGTAAGCCGCTCTGAGACTCCTTTGGGTAGTGAAGGGCGGGGTATAAATCCAATCTCTTCTCTTCTTCTTCTTCTTCTTTTAAACAAATGTCTTCTGCGTCTTCTTTTGTTGTGAGTCTGAGCGTGCCACTTGACGGAATTCCTGTTCTTTCCCTTGTGGCAGTAGCCAGTGAATACTCTGTAGTGTTTTTCTGGCATCAGACAACAGTGCCAGGCAGGCAGCTACATGCACCCTTCGCAGACGGCACAGCCAGGATGAGCAGCGGCGACATGGAAGGGAACCGGAAACAGGGTTAGCATAGTCAAGGCATTTGGGAAAATGAATGAAAAGGTCCCGCAGCCACCTGACAGACTTGTACTCCTTGTATTCCCCTTGCCCAGGACCTGATGATTCAAAACGGGATAAGCTACGTCCTCAACGCCAGCAACTCCTGTCCCAAGCCAGATTTCATTTGCGAGAGTCACTTCATGCGCATTCCTGTCAATGACAATTACTGTGAGAAGCTCCTACCATGGCTGGACAAGTCCATTGAGTTCATAGGTAAGATTGCTTGCCACTCACTGGAGGCTTTTTAAAAATCTTTTGGACTCTAGTTTTTTTTTGTGGTTTTGCTGTGAAAGGCTCCCAAGTGATGGTGACAGTGTTCCCTCTAAGCTGAGTTAGTGTGAGCTAGCTCATGGTTTTTTAGCCTCCGGCTCACACATTTTTGTCTTAGCTCAGGAAGGAGGGCTCCAGAGCAAACTAATCGATGCAGGAGCAAAATGGCTCACTCACAACTTTAGTGCCAGTTGCTCACAAAGTAGAATTCTTGCTCACAAGACTCCACAGCTTAGAGGGAACATTGGTGACAGTGTTCACACCCACACTTCTGTTTTGTTACTGACACTGTTTTCAGCTACGATGTGCACAGAACATCCAGTCTGCCCTTGGGAGACCTGCTTTATGCAAAACAGCCTTCCTGGCGCTGAAGTCTCCATACAGCTAGACAGATTTCACACAAGAGCTGCGCTGCGGTCGCGCCTCCCTTCGCCCCGCTGCTGTTGGTCAATTTCCCACTCAAAGCCGCACGGCTGCATTTTGACCCGCGGCTTCGCCCGATTTTCCCCGCGGTTTTGTGATCCTCAAAAAATTGACCAATAGAAGCGGGGGAAAGGGAGGCGTGACCGCGGCACAGCTCTTGTGTGAAATCGGTCCTAAATTCCCAAGACTGATGTAAACCCACAGTATCCCCAGAGAGAGAACGACTACTATTTGGGATAACAGCATTTCACAAAGTGTATTTTTATTTATCTAGGCGCTTTTCTTTTTCAAGAATGCACGCATGCTGACTTCAAAGGTCCATGGTCACCCAACTGTCTGAGCCATTGAACTGTCCATGCCAAGTAAAAATGTCCATAGTCATGTTTTATGTTCCTAAAGTAACAGAATGACTTTCAATCTAGAAAAGACAAAAGAAGTGCTAATGTAGCATTTTTTTTCAATTTTTCCGAAAATTTCCGTTTTCCCCCGGAAAAAACCCGGGTTTTTTTTCCGAGCTTCAAAATTTCCGGAAATTTTACATCTCTAGCTGCGGCTCTTTGCCAGTGGCTCATTGCAATTGCTTGCATGTTGTGTTGGAACTTAGCTCCCCATTTTGGAAGAAAACTACTCTGGTTTTTGTTTGGGAATAATGAAGGCTATTTTCTCATACTGCAGATAAGGCCAAGGTGTCCAGCTGTCAGGTGATAGTGCACTGCCTAGCAGGGATCTCCCGATCAGCCACCATTGCCATCGCCTACATCATGAAGACCATGGGCATGTCTTCAGATGATGCCTACAGGTAAGTTGCTTTCTGGAGAAAGAGGATATTTAAACGTGGTTTTTATCCGCTCAAGGCAAATATTCCTTGGGGATTTGGGCATGGACAGGTTTTGGTTGTTGTTGTGTTTTTTAAAGGAGCTGTAGGGAATGTTTTTTAAACATTTGCTATAAAGTACATTTCTGTGCAGTCCCCATAAGACAGTACGGTTGGATGAGCACAAAAGAGCCATATAGGCACAGTTGGTTAGATGTGCTGTCTACTTCTAGGCAAGGAGTGCTTGGTGAGGCCTGGACAAGCGTACAGGCATTCTTTGGCCTCTTTAAGAAACCAGATTCCGAGTGTAAACTTAGGGACATTGGTTTGCATAGCTCTTGGATTCCTCGTAGCCACTTGAATTTGTTTGGTTCCTTGTCAGTGGGCTAGCTGGTCGCATCCATGTGCACACAGGTAACCTGTAACATCCAGATAACCTGTAACATCCAGGTTACAGGGTAATGCAAAACCAGGGGTCATTTCGTAGAAAAAGAGGTGAAGGACCACATTAACATAACTCATCAGCATAACTTACTTGCATATGCCACACCCCCTGATATCACCGGAAGTGTGTCAGAAGGCAACAGCCACCACTCAGGCTCCACGGGACTGTTTTGGATTGCTAGCTATTGGGGGGGGGGGAACGTGCAGATCAGTCCTCGCAGAGGAGGGAGAGCTTGTACCTAAATAAAACTTGGTCTTAAAGGTGCCACTGGACTGTGTTCGGCCGGGGGGCCAGGGGGCCTCTGCAGCTTACCTGACTGCTTCTTGCTCTGACTGAGGGCTGCTGGGAGCAGGGGGCGGGGCTTGTTGCATGTGCCCGCCCCCTGGGCTCTTTACTGCCGGAGCTCCGCTCCTGTGCGCTCTTGCAGGAAATGACCCCTGTAAAACAACTTAATGCTGCATGTGGCAGTGCTTGTGTGCACACAAGGAACCAACGCATCCAGGCAGTGTCAGTGGCCGCTAACCGTGTCCCTGAAGCAAACCGTCACAGTGGCCTGAAGCCAACTAATGCCAGATAAGCAGAAAGCTTTAAAACATCACATTGCACATCCAGTCCTTTAAAAGTGTGGAAAGGACAAATCCAACAATTTCCTAGGGCTGCTTGGAATTGTAAGCCTCTCTAAAAATATATATATATATTTACCATGGTCTTCTAACTAAATACTCAGAGAACTAGAGTTTCAAGGATCTGGAGAACCCCATTGAGTGTAGATCAAGCCCTAACCACGGCTGTTTGGTTTGTATTGGCAGGTTTGTCAAAGACCGGCGTCCTTCCATATCACCCAACTTCAACTTCCTGGGTCATCCAACTTCCTTGGAATTTTAGGCCTCTCTAAAAGAATTTTTTTTTAACCATGATCTTCTAACTAAATACTCAGAGAACTAGAGTTTCAAGGATCTGGAGAACCTCATTGAGTGTCGATCAAGCCCTAACCACGGCTGTTTGGTTTGTATTGGCAGGTTTGTCAAAGACCGGCGGCCTTCCATATCACCCAAGTTCAACTTCCTGGGTCAGCCAACTTCCTTGGAATTTTAGGCCTCTCTAAAAAAATATATATTTTTTTAACCATGATCTTCTAACTAAATACTCAGAGAACTAGAGTTTCAAGGATCTGGAGAACCTCATTGAGTGTCGATCAAGCCCTAACCACGGCTGTTTGGTTTGTATTGGCAGGTTTGTCAAAGACCGGCGGCCTTCCATATCACCCAACTTCAACTTCCTGGGTCAGCCAACTTCCTTGGAATTTTAGGCCTCTCTAAAAATATATATATATTTTACCATGGTCTTTGAACTAAATACTCAGAGAACTAGAGTTTCAAGGATTTGGAGAACCTCATTGAGTGTCGATCAAGCCCTAACCACGGCTGTTTGGTTTGTATTGGCAGGGTTGTCAAAGACCGGCGTCCTTCCATATCACCCAACTTCAACTTCCTGGGCCAGCTCCTCGAGTACGAGAGAAGCCTGAAGCTGCTCAAGGCTCTGAAGGCCCAAGGGGAGAAAAACGAGGGGGAATTCCAGCAAGACCAAGCCGAAGCTCAGGAAGGCAGCAAGCACCTGTCTACCTCGGAAAAGGCTGAGGAGGCGTTAAGAAGCACAAGTGTGGAGATCTCCTCGGTTGACTCTGAGAGGCCCTCAGGAGTTCACAAGGTTGTCTCGCCAACGGTGCTACAGCAAGGACTCAACGGGCTGCACTTGTCTTCTGAGCGCATCCAGGACACCAACCGGCTGAAGCGTTCCTTCTCCCTGGATATCAAGTCGGCCTACTCTCCTAGCCAAAGGCAAGATGCCCAGGAACCCACGGAGGCGGGAGAAACCCCCAAACTTTGTAAGCTTGACAGCCCATCAGGCCCTAACGGTACATGCCAGTTCTCTCCTGTTCCAGACAGTCCAGACTGGCCCAGCGGTCCTGACTTCCTTCTGGAGGCCAAAGTACGGCAGAGGCGGAAGCATCGGCACCAGGCGGGCTCCCCTGCCCACGGGCTGAGCCTTAACTTCAGCGGAGTGTGCGCCATGCATAAAAGCACCAGCACGGAGGACAGTCTCAAGCAGACACTGCGGCTGAGCCTTCCCAGTGTGGGGCAGCAGATGGCCCAGCCCCCCGCCGCCGCCCCGACCTCGGCCGGCACTTGGGGGGTGCACTTGGAATCCCCCGGCACTCCCTCGTCGGAGAACCCCTGGTACTTCAGCACCGACTCGGCATCAGGCAGCAAGGGGAGCGGGACTCTGTTTGCCAGCGCCACCACCTACTCGTCATTCAGCTGCAGCACAATCCAGGCGAGCTGCGAGATCAGACTGAGGGACAAGCAGCGGGGGGAGCAGCGGGACGTGCGGCACAGCTGGCACGAGGACAGCGCCGCCGAGAAGCAGTTCAAGCGGCGGAGCTGCCAGATGGAGTTTGAAGAGACCATGTCAGAGAGCCGGTCTCGAGAAGACCTGGGCAAAATCAGCAAACAGTCTAGCTTTTCAGGCAGCATGGAAATCATAGAGGTGTCCTGACGTTCACCATGTGAGATTTGAGAACAAGTGTGCGTGCGCATTGGGTCAGTGGGGCGGGTGGGAATGCTGGCGAGATATTTAACTGGGGGGAGAAGCGAGGCACGGGTTGGGGGCGGGAGTATTATTTATACGCCTGTATGCATTTCCAAAGTGCACACATGCGGAAACGAAGGCAAAGCCAAACGAATCCAGAGTCAAGAAACATAACGGCGCATGCTTAGTGCCCCTTTTCGCTCCTACCTCCACCACCAAAACGAACCACAGCCACATTCCCTTATTGGCGGGGCGGGTGGGGGGCACACCGTGTTAACTCTCTAAATCCGAAATCCTTTTCTTCCACATGCAGAGACAGTGTTTTATTTCACCTCCCCACGAGGGAAAGTGGGAAAGTTGAGGTTTGACTTCAAAGATGTGGCGAAAGAGGAACTGGGGCAGAGCGAAACTCGCTAGCCGATTTACTGTCAATGTAAAAGTTCTTCTGGTGAAAGGTTATTGTCGGAGCCGCAAATCTGCAACGGGGGGAAAGTTCAAGGGAAACGGGTTACTTTCTTGTAGGAGAGCGTTGCCCATTGTTAATCATACATTCCTACCTTACCTATAGGAAATGACTGATATCTTGCCCATACCCTAATCCTGTTACAGGAAGGGAGTTCCCCTTCCATTCCATCTTGGTTGGATAGTGTATATTGGTGGTTCTTTCCCAGACTGGGGGTGCAGAAACCTGGAGGAGCTGGTTTTTATTGGTTCCCCTCTGTCCCCAGCCCATCACCACCATACTGAGCATGTTCCTTTGTGTTTCTCTGGCTAGTGTTCTTTAACGCTGCCTTACAGCAGCCCTATACATATATAAATATATATTATATATAATATAAGAGAGAGAGAGAGAACACAAAGAAAAGGTTTAAATGGTTTTACTACAGTTTTTATTGAAACAAATGATATTTCAACTTTTCTTTTTAATTTATTTGAAGCTGTTCATTCTGGCAATGATTTTTCAGACAATGTAGGGGGAGGTCCTTTCAGCCCTCTTTTTACTGTGTATGGTATTTAAATCTGAAACACAAGTTTCAAAGCAATATCCTAGGCCTGCGGCTCCTTCTGTCGCTCACATCAGTGATGCAGACGCCCCAAAATGTGGGATGAGAAATCTTGTCTCTGTGTGTGTGTGTTGTGTGTGTTGTGCGTGCGCGCGCGCTTTTATTTAAAAAGCAGAATCTTCAACACAAACTGAGCCAGGAATCATTCTTAATTCATCTTTCTTACTTCCTACTTCTATTGCATCTGCAATCAAAGCCATAAAAAGTTCCCCTTTCCTGGGTTTGGGGGGGAGGGAAGCAGGGTTGGGCTTGCAAGGGCAGGCATTTGCTTTGCTGTAAAAGGGAGGTGTCAGGATCCATATTCTAGGGAAAGGAGGTGGCAGCAGGCTGCATTGATAGAGGCTGGGCTCTCTTTGTAGCAGGAACTCCTTTGCATCTTAGGCGACACACCCCTAACGTAGCCAATCCTCCAAGAGCTTACAGAGCTCTTCTTACAGGGGCTGCTGTAAGCTCTTGGAGGACTGGCAATTTTTGTTTGAGGCTGGAAGGGCCTTATTTCGAGTTAGATGACAGTGGTCAGTTGTCACTGGCTCATCCAGAAGTTTAAGGACCAGACGTACATCCTTAGTATAACAGGCATGGCCAGGGTGTTTCGTACCTGATGGTATGTACAATCTCGGCATTGTAATCATGACGAGACCCCACTGCTGGTCTTGTCCGCAACGAAAATTTATTTACAAGTCTGGCAGAATCAACGCCCAAACATACAACAAAGACACTTAAAAACCGGACTAGTGTTGGGTAAACTCTCACTGTCACCGCACACGCATACATTCTCCTACTCCCGACGCCATACAATAAACCAACTCCGATGGTTAGTCACGTCCAAACGGCACGCTGAGCTGCGTTGGTCAGTGGACAAAACTCTCCTTCCGGTGAGCATCTATCCCCAGAGGCCAAAAACCCAGTCACCACCATAGTCCTCTCCTTCCACTGAGAACCCTTTGGCCGATGGTCAGTAGTACAGCCTCGTGCAGTCCCGTAGTCCTAGAATTCACCATCCACCTTCCTTCCACTGATGAGATCCGACACAACCAACAACGAGGCCGCTCCTCACTCCTCAGGGCACACTAACATCCTTCATCATCATTCACTCACCCCAGGAGCTAGCAGGAGGTAACAACAAAGTGCAATTGAGCTCCTGCTACCAGTAGAGCCCTGCTCAGGGCACACCAACATCCTTCATCATCATCCACCCACCCCAGGAGCTAGCATAGCTCGACTGGGGACCATCCGGGAAAATCCGGTAACAACAAAGTGCAATCGTCTCTCTCAAAATTCAAGCTGGGGCATCCGGCATACGCCTCACCAGCGACGGCGTCTTCTTGTGCATGTTACGTCCGATAGGGCTCGAAAGCCCTTTTTTCCTAACCGGCACTATATCTGTCGAACCATTAGAAGGTTACGACAGCACTGGTAGGGGTGTGTCACCTAATATGCAAAGGAGTTCCTGCTACAAAAAGAGCCCTGGTAGAGCTGTGTTTACTGAGTGTTCTGAATTGCTCTCAAGAGCATATAAGATATAGAAGATCAGGGGATTGGATTCCCAGGGGGATCATTCCCCTTCAAGTAGTTCGGGATATCTCCCAGATGAATTATAGTGACAACATAGACTGTTCCTTGCTGTTGGGGGGGGGGGGGGGGAGCTGTCACATGGCCTTTCAGATGCTGTTGTTATTTGGATAGTGTTAAATCCAACCTGTGAGTGTAACCATGAGACTCAAGACCTGTGGGAAAGGATGGCTTGATGATTGAATTATGTTATTCTGGTATCAGTAGGGTTGCCAAGTCTCACCTTGTTCTGGAGCGGGGGACTCCCGGGTCGATCCTGGAGCGCGCACCATAGAGTTTTCCCTCGGATGACCGTGGCCCCGCCCCCAGCGTGCCCGGTGTGGTCGCGTCACTTCCTGGTGACGTGCACGTCCGGGGTGGAGTTCCCCCTGGGGCCCGATCTGGCGGCAGCGGGGATCGGGCCTCTGGGGCGGGGGTTTCCCCGCCCCCCGGGGGGACTTGGCAAGCCTAGGCATCAGAATAAAATGACCTTAAGTTCCCCAGAGCCACTGAAGGGCAGTGTCGGCTTGCAGCAAAAATAGAGGTAAAGAATGAATAAATGCCCAGTTCTCCAGCATGAATCGTTCATAGGGGGGTTCCCCAATAAGTGTGAATCAGCCGTGAGAAAGAAGCCCAGAGGCAAAGCTGAACTAGAAGAAGACCAAATGAAATAGCCTTTTGAGGAAGGAGGTTCTAGGAAGGGCAAGTAAGTATTTCACTCTCCAACTCATCCCCCTCCCTACTCCAGTAGCCATCTTCCCAGCCCTCCCTCTGATGTGTTCCTACACAGAGGAGCTTGGACATATGTCTTGTCTTCTCTTTGAGAAATGACATTAGTTGACTAGGATATTATGAACAAAGGAAATCCACACTGGGGAAATGCTTGGATGGAAGACATCTTCATGTACAGGGGAAATGGAGGCGATATTCACCTAGCACTTTTTGAAAGATGGTCACCAGTAGGCCACGATTGTAGCAGGACTGGCCCAAGCTATTTTGGCATGTGAAGTAAAGAAGTGGAGTCCTCCTTAGAATGGAAAAATATAATCATGAGTTTTAAAACTGATCCTTCACCACTCTTAAATAGGAATCTGCCACCCGTGGGACTGCTTCGTTCACCGTTGTCGTAAGGTTGACCTTGAACGAGGGTAGAATTTGAATGGCTTTCCATTAGTTGCAAGAAAGCATAAATCAAGCATTTCTGGTCCTAATGTAGAAGTAACTAAAAACTGGCAGCCGACCTTAGAGTAGACAGTTTTGTGATCTCCTATGCAAATAGGCCCAACCACATGGAAAGCCTCTATCACACTCGCTCATATGTTTGGCGGCCACTAGCGTGGACACTGCCTGCCTCATGACTTGAGCTGTTCATTTGGTACATTGCTGACAAATACTGCAGCCCCACATGAACCATTTTTCAGATATCTCCATTTGGGGATCATTTTTTTTAAAGTGTCCCTGACTGGTAAAAGATATGTGGTTGTAAAGCAGGAGAATAAACACTCAGATAAACAAATCATGGAAGTATTGGTAATTCACTGATGACAGCAGAAGATCTCAGCCAGGACCCAACAGTGGGAGTGGATGATTTATGTTTTCACTGTTGGCCACACTGAACTTCTACATCCTTTCTGGGTATTAGCAAAGGCATCAGTTCAAAAGGCTTCATTACTCAAGACACTACAACACTGCCCCACATTTGGGACACAGGCACAGAGCTGTCTCTCCACAAATTGAAAGCACATTTTTTCCCCTCTTTATGTCACTGATTTTGTGTTTTCTTCTATCATATTATATGTTGGTTTTTTGAGCCAATACCTCAGGGTTTGTTTGTGTAGCTTTTAGAAGGGAAAAAAATATATATGAAAACCTTTCCGTTCCTTTATTTTCCCATTTCCTTTATTGTTTAATTTTAGTGTCGTTTTTTAAATAGTCCTACACAAGATCTTTTTTAAAAAATCTCAGGTTGAAAAACAAACACCAACCACAGGGAGCAGCAATAACATGTTGCTGCATCAAACTGTCTGTTTCCTGACTTTAGTAACTACTGTCTGTCCATTACAAAGAAACACGGCAGAGACCTGTTGGACTTTTGAGTAATAGTTGCTTTATCAGGATGTGTTCAGATGACACGCTGCAAGCTCAGAAGTGATTCTCTTGGGCCTGTATAATGTTTTGGAAATAGTGTGGCAGAGGATCGGGCTATAGGTAGCCACCTACATTGAGGTTTGAATCAATTCTGATTGCTTTCTGTTGGTTCCCCCTTAGTGTACAAAGACGAGATCACATCTTTTGGGTCCAGAGGAATGTATTAGGAGTATGAAGCACACACTGGTCCCATACAGTCACTAA